AACAAATATTAAATATCTGCTAACTATACATATACGTATAATGACGATATTAATGATGTACATCACGTGATTTTGAAATTTTTTTGGGTGGTGATTCTACCCTAGTAGATCTGCCGGTCCAAATTTGTTGCGGCAGCTATGGTTAATTAGTTTACGGTATCTGCGCCACAAACCTGACACACATTTCCGACATGCCGCAAAATTTTTTAGCCGTGCTACTCACCCTTTATTAAGTATGTATTGGATTTGTTCATTAATCGGTTTTTACAGTATAACAATTAATATACAAGCTAGATCGAACCGATAACAAATACGTTTATTGGTATATATAGTTTACTATCGTTGAGAAAATATATTTGATTTTTTTTTTTTTTTAAAAAAAAAAAATTAATTTTACTAATACTGGACAAAAATTACATTTATAGTTACATAGATACAAATATACATATGTATATGAAAGCAAAAAGATTACCAAATAAACACGTCATTCCACCTGGGAACAAGAGAATCTGAAAAACTATACACATTATGGATTTCCATATATATATATATATATTCTGACGAAATCAAATAAGTACAATAATATAAACTTTAAATTTCATGTGAAAAATTGGACTATCAAGGATGATTATAGAATATTGTCTTTTGGTGGTTTAACTAATTTATCGAAAGATGATGGTCTCGGATGACCATATTGTGTTTCATGCAAGCCACATTTGTTACCTTAGATAATAATGAAGAAAAACATATGTGAGCGAAGAAGTCAAAAAAATTGACAGAATAAATAATTAAAGTACTTACACAGAGTACCATTTTTCCTCCAACAAGATGATTCATTAACACCGCAGTTCTTACAAATGCGTTGTTTCTTCGGTCGTTTATATTTAAGAGTACCACATTTGATTTGATCGGTTGGTCTATTTTTACCATGGGTCTTAAAACTACAAACAAAAAAATAAAAATAAAAATAAATAAATAAATAAAATAAATAAATTATAATTCAGAAGTTGAAATTAAAAAGGTTAATATATACTATAATCCACAAGCATTGCAAAGAAGTTTTCCAAGATCATCTCTTCTCCATGCGGGTGATTTAGTGGTATTACAATTTACGCAATGATTTCTAGCCGATATGTGAGGATTAGATAAAATTTCAATGATCTGAGGGTGATAATCTACAGATGCAGCCATTCTCTCTTCAGCTTCCCATTGCTTCGTAAGGCTAAGTAGATGATGCGGAAAGTATAGACATGTCAATTATAGAAGACATAGAAGACATAGAGAATATTTAGAGAGAAGTAAAAAATATAGAGTGTATAAAAGATATATATATATAAGATATATCGGAGGCAGCAAAACATGGCGCGTTTTTTTTTTTTTTGCATATAATAGTATATAATAAGTTAATATTTAGACGTACGATAATGCTTTATCTATCGGAATCAAACCAGCATTTACAAAATCTTCAACGGTTAAATCAAGCATCCAATCTTCAAATATAATTTCTTTACCGTCACTTAACGGTATCCTTGTTGGTGGAACAGTTGTAACGGACGTGAATGACAAATTGGTATATTCGTAATCAACGCTCATAGTGGCGCTCATGTTATTAAATAATGCGATCAATTTGTTTTTTGAAACTTTTTTAAAAAAATAAAGAAAAATAATATATTTTTGTTTGTTTGTTTTTTTTGACGAAAGGAACGTTTTTGTTCGAAAGTGATACAAATACTCTATGGTTCTTATATATATATTTCGGTCTTTTTCCTATAGAAACCTTATTATTATTTCAATAAACGTTCACAGTGACAGCCATTTTTTAAACTTAAGAAATTTCAGCGAATAACATTAAAATCCTTTAAATAAGAACAAAGATAGTGGAACTAAATATGGTAAAGCTTTCTTGAAGATAGGAGTCATGAAGAAATTTAAACATAGAGGACATATAAAATGCTAGCCAATTTTGAGAATTTTATTACAAATATTTCTTTTTGTTTGTTTTCCGAAACAAAAATAATTCGCGAAAAACTTTTCCCACAAATTCTATTCGCGCTACTATTTTGACTAACAAAAAGTATCAGTATCACGTGTAGCATATATAGCAAAGTTTAAAAATAAGCGGTTCTCGGGCGAAAATCTCCACGAGAACAATAGATTAAAAACGGCCCTTTCTTACAAGAGAAAATAATGGAAACGGAATGTCGTGAACAATGATTCATTGCTGTACACTAACTTAGGAGCTGCGACTACGTTTCGACAGTCTTTGGGATTGATCACCGCAAAAAGATGACAACAGAAAATAAAACTGATTTGTGGACACATCTGGTATGGTAGACGTACCTTGGATAGATTTGATGTTTTGATAAGATTAATAAGATATCTTTAAAGATTTCTACAAATTCTGAAACGGTTAAGTGAAAATACTATTTTCCTGGTCTCTTTGAAAAAAGGAATAATAATTTTTTGAGGCGTTAAATTTTTATAATGACGCAGAGATAATGACTAATGCACGTTTATTAAGGAGGAGGCTACAAGTGCGTTGCGCTAAACTGATGAATCATCATAATAAAATAATCGACAAGGAAATTTTTTCTTTGCTTGCATCGACTATTTGATCATGAAAAAGTGTTCGATACGCGACATATTTTATATAAAAAAGTACGCGTTTCTCAAATTTATAGTTTATAAATTACAATCATTGATTACACTATTATCATAATTGTTATTATTATCAACGCACTAACATTTAAATAATTTAACATTTTAGACAAACAATTTACTGTAATAAATTGTTGTTTTAATAAATAGTTTAATATTTTAACTCAACAATTTAATGTTTTAATATACTTTTTAATACTTTAATAATTGATCATGTAATTAAACATCAAATGACCTCATTAGAGTTGCGCACGTTTATGAGCTTATTTCTTGCCCCTTGTACGTACTTGTAAAAAAATAGATACTATATATATATATATACCGGTATAGATCAACCAACTTTGTAAATGAATACATCTCTAAAAAGATCAAGTAATAAAAATATTTTAAAGGAGCCTTGTAATGCAGCAAGTGAGAATGTGAGTCGTAATTTAGAACAACAATCGATCGATCAATAAATTGATATGTAATTACGTAAGTTGCAGTATATGTATATAATGATGTAATGTATCGAAAATATTGATATTTTTTTATACAATATTACAATACTGCAATACTGCAATACGTATTATCATTTATCATTAATAAAAATACAATATGATATATATACATATATATACAATACTTGGTTACACGATTGTATAATTTGTAACTACGTACAGAACTAAAGGATCTGAAACTGCTTTGTTTTTAGTGTGAAGTTATTCCTTCTATGGTTATAATTTATAGTCATAGTTATCATAGACATAAGTTCGGTAACTAATATCGTTATAATTCAATAATTCTGCATGATTATAAATTACTTCGAACGAGTTATACGAATTATTCTATAGTAATAGTTATGAAAAAATGTATACATGAAACAATTTATTTTTTACCATGCTAAATGCTAACTCCGTTTATAACTCTGCTTATAATCCTGTTTGTCATATGGTATGACAAATAGTACCTGGTAAAGATTAAAACAATAGCGTTAGCTTGTTAGGTTGCATCTCTCCTTTTAAAGTATAACTGTAAAACAATCGTGACAATGCATGAGTGGCTAAATATCACGTTTTCATTGTAAAACTAACCCATTTTACTGAATTTACTAAATGTACTTAACGTACTAGTCCTAGTAAGTATCGTCCGAAACTCGAAACGTCGGAGCTTCAAGTTGATCAATAAACAAATATAAAAATTTTGTTTGAAATATTTCCTTAATTATTTTTTTATTATTTTTTTTTTTAACACTTGATTAGGAGTTTTTTTCCTGCTAAAAAAACCCTGCATGTAGTTTCAAAAAAAGGAAAACAAAGCTGGTTTTTATAATTTGCTTAACTCGTACGTACGTAAACTTACTCTTTGTATTCACTTACTTCTTTCTTCCCTTTCTTTTCTGCTAATAAAATAATCGTGTGTTACAACTTGACTTGTAAAACCATCGATTTTTTTATTTGTTTTTTTTTAAATAATTAACGTAATATAACGAGTGTGAAGCGTTTGAAAATATATATATTTATATAATTTTTTTTCTTAATAATTTATTAATTATTAATATTAAAAACCAAACTACTTTTAATATGGACGAAGTCGTATATGCAATTCATCCATTTGAAGCGGAGAGTGAAGATGAGGTTTCATTTGAATTCGGTCAACCGATAATCGTTTTAGAAAAAGATGAATTATATGGTGATGGTTGGTGGAAGGTGATTTCTCTACCTTTCTTGGTCTTTAAACGAATTCATTTAATTTAATTACATTGTTGATTATTATTATTGAAAGAAATAATAAAATAATAATTTTACTCTTGATGAATTCGTTTTCTTTTTTCTTGATTTTCATTTTATTTTTTAATTAACATTAACATTATCATTTCTTCATTATCATTTCATTATCATTATCATTATCATTCTGCAGGGAAAAAATATTCACGGAAGAATTGGACTTTTTCCAATGAATCATACTAGTTATAGTAAACCTGCTCCAAGGAAACCAGAGACTAATACTAATAGTTTTTATAATCAAATGGTTGCTACTCCTAATGAGACGTCGAATTCAAATAATTTGGAATTGAATAATCTGGAATTGAATCTGGAATTGAATAATAATCTGGAATTGAATCTGGAATTGAATAATCCTTCACCCCTTTTTAGAATGCCAACTCCTTCTATCGAAGAGACTATTGATGATATACAAAATAAATTACGAAAAATGAGTGTAAAACCAAATGAAAAACAATTAAATCAAGATCTTCCTGAATCACAACAATATCAATGGTCACCAAAGCAAACTCGTCGTAGTAAATTATTTTTATCGTCTTCATCTTCAAGATCTGTTAGTAGCATTAGTTCTTCGTCTCATAGACAATCAACTGAAAGTACAAAAATACCTCCTCTGAGACAACCCATTCAAACAAAGGATCATCCATCAACGTGGGATGTAAGACAAGTTTGTCGGTGGTTAGATGAAGTTGGTTTTGGTTCTGAAATAAATAATTTTATCGGTAAGATACCTTTGTTAATTATGAACTGTTAGTTAACTGTTAATGATTAACTCTTAATTATTATGAATTGTCAATTGTTAATTGTTAATTAACCGTTAATTATTAATTGTTAATTACTGTATTAATTATGAATCGTCAACTGTTAATTATGAGTTGTTAATTGTTAATTATTAATTTTATATTCTTTTAAGATAATGATATAACTGGTGATGTTCTTCTCGAGCTTCATTTATCCACATTAAAGGAATTAAATGTAGTTTCCTTCGGAAAGCGTGTACATATAATGAATGCTATAAATGCGCTTAAAGCAAAACATTCTATTGGTGCTGTTACTGATGATGACATATCGGATATAGAGGAGGTTGGTAAAAAAATTTTTTTTTATATACATTATATGCATTTCTATTTTCTTATTTTTATTCTAATATTCTAATTACCTTTTTTTTTAGCAATCCATTTATTCGCCGACTCCCGTTTATCGTTTTCAACCTAAATATAACAGTAGTAGTAGCCCTACGTTAGGTAAATTTACCGCTAATCAAGAATTTAGGAAATTTCCTGGCCTTCCATTATCGCCCAGAAACTCTGCTGGCAATCGTCGCGCTCATCCTAATTTTTATTCTCAATTAAAACCTATTGATGACGTAAATGTTACAAATGATATTGAAGTAAATATATTCTTTATAAAATTTTCTAACCTATTTATAATATGTTTCTGTATTATGTGTTAAGATTTTTAAAAATTTGTAATTGTATCATTATCATCAATAGACTATTGACCCTAAACCTAAAAAAAGTAGAATTTTATCAAAGTGGAGTTCTTTAAGAAAACCCAAAGAGAAAAGGTCTTCAGAAATCAATTTGGTAATATATTTAACTTAATTTAAATTGTGAATTGTAACTAGTTATGTTTTTAATGTGATTATAATTGTCTAATATAGAATAATGGGAAAAAAAGTCAAGAAGAGATTAGGAACCAATTTGTTAATGATAATATTCGACCAAATTCTCCAAGTCTTGATAAAAGTAAGGGATTGTTATTTAACAGAAGGAAATATTCGGTAATTATTTTATGATCTATCTACAAATTTTTACCTTGACTTCATTATTTCATTATTTGATCTACTAAAATTTATTTACTCTATTATTATAATTTTATCACTTAGGAGAGAAATAGTATGGTCGAAAATCCAGTGGTTCCGAAACAGTCTTTAGAGTGAGTATTTGAAAATTTAATCTCTAGAAAAATTATCACAGTTTTTGACCCATTGATCGTTATTTAGTATCACGAGACCTGAAAGTCCTTTTCAAAATAATAATAATCGTAATAATAATAATAATAATAATAATAATAATAATAATAATAATAATAATAATAATAATAATAATAATAAATGGGAAACTCTTGAAGATCTAAACAGTATGGATTTAGAAGTTTTAAAATCCATGGGTGAACCTGATTACGAAGGATGGCTTAAGAAACAAGGTGATAAATATAAAACTTGGAAATCCCGTTATTTCATATTGAAAGGCGTAGATCTCTATTATCTTAAGAACAATAAGGTATTACTTTCATTCATTGTCGTTATAGTGTTATGCTACTCCTACATTGTCGTTATAGTGTTCTGCTACTCCTACATTAGTCCTACATCAGTTCTATATCCCTACTTTTTATGATGCTTATCTTAACATACGTAACACACGTATATATACTATATTATGTATTTTTGTAGCATATCCAACATCCTAAATTAAAAGGCCACATTGACTTAACGGGATATCGTATCCTTACTGATGAAAATATATTACCTGGAAAATATGGATTCAAGATAGTCCATGATGTACTTCGAACTCATTTTTTTGCACATGAAGACATTGACGTAATGAGAGGATGGGTAAAAGCAATGATGAAAGCTACGATATCTCGTGATCATAATGGTATGCATAGATTTAAAAAATTATTTTGAATCATAATATTTTTTTTTAATGTTAATATTAATTAATTATTTTATACCTATTAAAAGCTCCAGTAATCAGTTCAAGTAATATTAACACGGTTCCATTAGCCGATGCTCGTAAAATGTCACCACGACCACCGCAACCTCGACGTCCATCATTCTCTGCTGCCGCAGTAATATCGAAAATAGATTCACCAGTACTTCGCGTCCCTTCACCGACGTATATTAAACAAAAACCGAATTACATAACAACGATGGGATCATCATCATCAGCTTACATTCAAAATACAGCTATGTATCCAAAATGAATTCCTATAATTAATAATAATAATAGGAAAAAGTAAAAAAAAGTGAAAATATCGTAATAATTTTAAAAAAATTTTTTTTTTTCTTGGTCGATTAGTGGTTAATATTGGTAATATTGGTAATATTGTTAATATTGTTAATAGGTTAATAATGGTTATTACGAAATTCTAAAATTTTTTTATACAAAATTATACTATCAAAAAAAAAAACAAAAAAAAAACACTTTTATTCTTTCTAAAAAAAAAATTTCATTTTAATCAAAAGTAGTACAGTACATTTCTATTTATCTATTAGTAACTTATTTTGTAATAGCAATAGAGAGATTTTTTCTCACGTTAGAAACGTTTGCTTATTACAAGATTTAATGTTTATATTATAATAAAAAATAAAAAGTAGGTTATCTTAAAAAAAAAAAATACGCAAGTGAATGGGGGTGAGAGAAAAATTTTTGATAGAAAATTTACCCCTCGCATAGGATATTATACCTGATTGGAGTTATATATAGTTTTGAGAGAGTGTACATACGCGGTACCACACTCTTGAGTTCCTTTCCGAAAAATAAAAATGCACCCCTCGCGCGCGGTCTCTCCTCGCATCATTTATTTTCATACCTTAAGCACTAGTGTTTTGAAACTTTATGCATATACAAATACGTAAGTACTGTATGTACTATACGTTACAAGTGCTAGGCACTGTACGTACGATTAAATCTTGCTAGGCACGAGCATAGGATGATATTTTGATTGTACCAGCACCTAATTTCAAGGATTGCACGTGTGATGTGTCCCTGCAAGTAATGATCCGAAATTGGGGGTCGTCTAAAGCGGAGCAGAATCACATGATGTACGACCAATCAAATTATAGAAATTTGATGATCGCCGACGAAGCAAAAAACTTGAAAATACAAAAAATAGCAGTCTAAACCTACCTTGGGTAAGCTAAGTAAAAATGTCGGGAAGGCAATT